GAGGGCCCGCCACCCGGGTCAACACAAGCAAACGCCCCGGGCTTGATCCCGTCTTTGGGCGATCGTCTTTCCTAATTACCACCCGCAGCCGCTAGTGTGGTTTGATGGCTTGGAATCGATTAAAATTTTGTGATTAAGTTGTTGACTTTGGAAGCCTGAGCCTAAGCTTAAGCCTAAGCTTAACCGTAGGCCTAAGCCTGAAGCCGAGACATAAGCCCAAGCCTAAGCCAAACCTGAGTGTACGCAGCCGAAACAGCATATTCCGGAGACTAAACAGCCTAAGTCCAAGCCTAAGCTGAGCCTAAACCAGGCCTAAGCTAAGCCTAAGCGTAATCGTCCCAGCAGCGTATTCAAACTTTCGAAATCGAATTTCCAGAACCAGCCTAATTTTCTTGTTGTAAAACTCGATACTTTAAAGATTAAGGCCGGTTTTACGGGTTAGACAGTGTGAGTTCCTCAGAGAACACAGACCTCAGAAGGACAACATTTAGTTTTGACGTCTCAGAAATCATAGACCCGGAATATACTAAAAAAACGAGCGGCCCGATCGACAGCTAGCCAGATTTTAGTATGACCGTCCTTATCACTTTGTGCCCCTTCCCCTCTTCTCCATATTTGCGACCACACCGCTCATAGCCCATCCACCCCTCCACCACCTCTTTTTTCACCTTACTTTTATCGGCCCAAGCTTTTCATAGTCGCGTCCACTCACGGTTACACGCGCCCCGTGCCGATGGCTTCACGTACTTCGTTTGGATTTGGGTTTAGACCCTTTAGCTGATGGGAGAACCTTTTCAATATTTCTTCTTGCTACACATCTTGCTTGTGTTTTGCTTGTTACACAGAAAGCTGACAACTTATGGCATCGGTCGTTAAAGGCTACTTACGAGCGTCTCTCTCTCTCTCTCTCTCTCTCTCTCTCTCTCTCTCCCTCCCTCTCTGGCTTCGTTTCTGCCCGGAATTAGGTGCCTCATGTATCCCTGAACCTGACGCTAGAAACCGAAGGTTATCTTTTTAGTTTCTTTGGCATTATCGGGGGGGGGGGTCATGGCGGGGGCAACTTTGCTACGAGTTGGCGAATGTATCGTGACATAATTGTGAGTGTTGAATCGTGTTTTCAGTAAAATTTACCTATGGTCTAGGTGGAAAACGATCAAAAAATTTTGAAACCTTTTTTCGGAGGAAATTTTCGTCGAAAATCGGCCATTTTTGTCGAAAAATCTATCTTTTTGTAGTTTTTATTCCGAATTGTAATGTTTTTACGGTAAGGCTCAGTAAAAAGCTTGCTTTATTTATTTATATTGGGCAACTACATCGTTAGAAAAAAGTAGCTTCCCTTTACCGTTTTTAATTCTTTTCGGTGGCTTTACGTTGCTTTGAACTTCCCTAAAATTTAAGCAAAAATTCCAAACTATTTCTGTTCCTCTTCCTACTTTCATTCTTTGAATTTTTCCATTTTTTAGCAGATTTAGCATTCTAAAAAGCCGCGTTTCCAAATTGGGCTTTTTCCGATTTGTCGCCTAGAAATATGGAATTTTAGTTGAAACAGACTAAATCCTGCATTTTCTAAAAATTCGCTTGGATGCAAAACCGGCGCGTTTTTTGAACGTCTTCAACTTGTCGAATCAACCCTCGAAAAATCGTTGATAGGTGCCCCGGATATAAGCCATTTTCCCCAATCATCACCCCCCTGATTTTTATGGCTTCTTTGGTGAAGCCAGCAGCTCTTCTGCCGGGTTGCCCTCTTCGGTGTCCCTGGGCGTCTCCCGGGCCAAAATCACACAAATCCACCCCATTCCCGCGCCCCCCATCCACTCCCAAAAAGGCGAATCTCGCCCACCCCCTGAATTCCAGGGCTCGCGCCGCGCAAAAAAAAACTTGGATCGCCCGGCAACGCGCCCGGTATCTAGCGACTACGAGCCGATTATTGTAACACAACACAACCAGAATTCTGGGATTCTGGCTCTGTTTCTTGGGATTTTGACGAATTCCGAAGTTCTACACCGGATTTGGCGACGACTTCTAGGAGTACGGTGGAAAATCTGACTAGCTCATTACTACAAATATTACTATTTACGTCCGGCTACGCTGGAATCCATAATTACGCTACTATTTTTACCGCTGAACTACGGACTACAAGCCCTAATATTATTTTTATTACTGCCATCTACGGTATAGTGCGCTAAAATCCGTAATTACGGTATTAAGCCTCGGATAAAGTACGTACTACAACTTTTCACGTTATTTTTACTACTTCATTTTTCCAAGCGTACGTAAGGATCCATAATTACGCTATTTTTTTGCGTTAAACTACGTACATCTACTCTATATATTCTATTTATTTCCATTTAAGCCTATAACTACGGTATAGTACGTAAGAATTCAGAGTACGAAAAGTACGCAACGATCCGGAATTACGCTAATAAAATATTTAGTAAAATTCACTATAACTCTAATCCTCTAATATCTGGAGATGTACAACGCCTCAAAAACCCCTGAAATGCCGACAAAACCCCCGAAAAAATCGCCAAAATCAAAGCGAAAAGCCGGCAAATCCCCGAAGCGGATCTCACCCACGAACGCGTCGATTGAAAAGCCGAAAAAGAAGTCGTCCACAAGTTCGAATCCCAAAACCGCACCTGTAGATCTCCCCGCCGGGAAGAAGGGCAAGAAACGGCAGAAAAGAGAGGTGAAAAAGAAGCCGAAAGGCGAGAAAAGGATTCCAAATGATTCGGCTACAATTTCTACAATCACCAACTCGACGCTGAACACCCCGTCAACGTTGGAGAGCACGATATCGGCTAGATCGGAACCGATTTTGGGTGAAAAAGGTAGTGGGAGGAGGCTTGGGCTAGGTTAGGCTTCGACTTAGGCTTGGGCTTGGGCTTGAGCTTAGACTGAGGCTTAGCTTGAGCTTAGGCTTAGGCTAAGGCTTGCGCTTGGGATTAGGATTAAGCATGCCTTAGCTTAGGCTTGGGCGTGGGCTTGACTTGAGCTTGAATTGGACTTAGGTTCCGGCTTAGGCTCAAGCTTAGGCTTAGCCCGACCTGGGCTTGGGCTTCACTTAGACTTAGCTCGGGTCTATACCCGAGCTTGTTCGAGCTTGCTAGCTGGACTTGGGCTTATGTTTAGGCTTAAACCTGGACCTAGGCTTTGGCTTGGCTTCGACTTTGTTTGTAGCATAGACCAGAGCGTACCTTAGCTTAGCAATGGCAATTTGCGCGAATTCTAAGAGGCCCATGGTGAGCGCGTGCAATGGAGTGTGGCGCAGCCCAGTAACCGACTACGCGCGACTCCTCTAGACGACACTACTAGGTGCGGGTTTTGCATATTTTTCAGACTATCCATGATATGGATTTTTAATGCTTCCCTTAAAACCTAGAGCGGCAAAACCCAGGCGTTGCGGACGCGTTACGGCGTGTCGCGGGTGCGTTGGGTAGCTTTGTTAGCTTTGTAACCTTTGTCGCAAGCTCTCATTTCCAAAACTTTTTCCTTTCCCCAAGGCTCTCTGCTAGCACCCTGGACTTGAAGCCCCCCAGAAAGCACATTTTTCAAATAAAATTCCAGCACAGCGTGACGGTCAAAAAAATTGCAAAAAAATCCTGCCCTTTCACCGGACCGGCGGCTAAAAATGACTCCCATTTTTGTGGGTATGAGCAGCAACAGTCGGGAGTATTTGGCGGCTATTATTATGCGGTTTGGGGGGGGGGGGAGAAGCCTGAATGGGGCAGAGGACACTAAACCCCTCTTGCCACTCCCTCTCTACTGCTCTACTCGATTCTCCATATATCGCTTCCGCTCGTAGACCGTCAATAGGTGTACACGTTTCGAAATTTAAATACTTTTTAAGGGGCCGGTTTTTTTTAAAAAAACAAACCAAAAAAAAAAAATTTAAAAAGGGGGTGGGGAGCATTTGGGGAGGGTGATTTTGGACTTTTAACCCTTTTAACGGAGTGATTTTCGTCGAATTCTGTTTAGAATGTCGAGACTAGCTCCTCTCTCTCTCTCTCTCTCTCTCTCTCTCTCTCTCGCACTCGCTTTTCCTCTCTCTAGTTTACGCAGCTTTTTTATTACCAATCAATCAGAATTTTCACTCCTTATCGATTCCGAACTCAGAAAATGCCACTATAACACCCGGCCCGGTCACAAATAGCCAATAACCAACCCACCCATGCCTTTTTTGCCGTCCCAACTTTCTGATTTCTGAGGGTTCATTCGGGGTACTGGCCCTGCCGATACACTTGTCGACTATTTGTCCATAGCAGTCAAGTGGAATTGTAGAAATTGCCTGGAGATGGGGAAATTGAGTTTCGGGAGACTTTTCAACGGGAAAAATACCCAAATAAATTTCATCTTGAAAAATGAACGGAGACAGCTTCTGTTACCTACAATTTTTCTGAGGGTTTTGACCATAGAAAAGATGGATTAATACGGTTTTTATCGATTTAACGACTGCTCAAAGTAATCTAAAATGGTAATAAATACGTTTTTTTTCAGCTGTCATCGCCCCTGCGCGCGAGGCCTCATCAGCCACAGCCCCCGGTACACCAGGAGAAAAAGGTTAGAACTAGCGAAAAATATATTAAAAGCTTTAACAGTAATTTGGGTAGTGCATCTCTCTCTCTCTCTCTCTCTGTCTCTCTATCCCTACATGTCTCTCTATATCTCCAGCTCGCAATCTCTGTCTCTCTCGCACGTTCTCGCTCTCTCGCTCTCACTTACACTCACTCATTCTCTCGCTCTCTCTCTCTCTCTCTCTCTCTCTCTCTCTCTTCTCATTCTGCCGTTTCCGCCTCCCCAAAAAAATAAAAGCTGCCAAAAACTCGCTCGGGAAGGGTCTAAAAGTACACGCTAGGTATTTCTATCTCCTGTTTCCCTAGCGCCGCAAGGCGGCCGCTATACACCACCGTACGCCCGAAATTCCAGGCATAACCCCCCAATTCCCGGCCGACCGTGCCGCCGACGGGAAGAAGAAGAATTCTGGCTGGCGCTGGAGTGATATGTGCGGGTGTTTGGACGGGTTTCGGAAAAAGAAGGGCAATGAGAAGGACGGCATCATCCTCGGGGCCGAGGAACGGCGGCTACGCGCCAATGACTCGGAGTATAATGCACAGTTCAAGTATAAGGTGAGCCCGAGATTTTTGAAGGGAGCATGAGATCAAGCTCGGTTGAAATTAGTTTCATTGAATTCATCCCATTTCCATTATTTCAGGACAACTACATCAAGACGTCCAAGTACAATCTGCTCACCTTCATCCCCCAGAACCTCTTCGAGCAGTTCACGCGGATAGCGAACTTCTACTTTTTAGTGTTGATGATATTACAGGTATTTGTGAAAATAATTACTATTAATTTGGACACCTGTAGCTATATCATTAGTGCGCCTTTTACTATACCTATTTACCATTCCAGTTTATCCCGGTGATCTCCTCCATAGCCTGGTACACCACCTTCATTCCGCTCGTCTTCGTGCTGGCCGTCTCGGCCATTAAGGACGCCTACGATGATGTGGTACGCGATTTTAAAGGACCATTGAAGCGAAAAACAAGCAAATCTATGAATTCATTTTAGCAACGGCACATCTCGGATCGGCAGGTCAATAATAGGAAATCCTACGTCGTCAGGGGTGAGTAATTTTCTAAATTTCATCAACGCATTTTCTTAAACTTTTGGGTCGGATTAGCGGTAGTTTTTGCGCATTAATGATTTTGATCTTTTAAAGCGTGTGTTTAGGAGGTCGCCTCGTCGAGGAGCCGTGGCACAACGTCAAGGTCGGCGACGTCATCCGGATGATGAGCAACCAATTTGTGGCGGTTAGTGGAGAGAGAGGGGAGAGAGAGAGAGAGAGAGAGAGAGGGGAGAGAGAGAAAAAGGGAGAGAGAGAAAGAGAGAGACAGGGAGAAAGAGAGAAAGAGAGAGAGAGAGAGAGAGACAGAGATAGAGATGGAGCGCGCGAGGATCTGTGAAATGTCAAAATCCAGGACGTCGAAATCTCTAACATCGACGTCGTAGAATACCGGATTTTCAAAAATGCCGAAAATTTAGATCGTCGAATTTACATTAACAAAGATTTCCCCAAAAGCGCCTTCAAATACTCTGCAAAAATTGTCGATATTCTGAAAATTCGACATCATCAAATTCCGGCATTATAAAATTTCGACGTTCTGAAATTTCGGCATTATGAATTCCGACATTTCGAAAATAATATAAATAATAAAAAAAGACCACTTCCATTTCCAGGCCGACCTCTTCGTCCTGTCCACCTCCGAGCCCCACGGAATCTGCTACATCGAGACGAAGGAACTCGACGGGGAGACGAACCTGAAGACCCGGGGTGCCCTCGCCGAAACGGCCGAGATGGGCGATGATTTGGACCAGATCTCGCCCTTTCATGGTATGTTCTATTTGGATCTTCGACTCGATTTTTTAGGCGAAATCGTGTGCGAGGCGCCGAACAACAAGCTCGACAAGTTCAACGGCCAGCTGAATTGGCAGGGACGGACGATGGCGATGACGAACGATAATATTTTGCTTCGTGGATGTATTCTGAAGAACACGAGATGGTGGGGTGCTTTTAGGGGTTAGCTCCAAGCTTCTAGAGGAGCTCGGGCTTAGCGAACTAGTGAGCATGAGCTTAAGGCTAAGGCTCAGGCTTAAGCTTGTACTAATTTCTGTTCATAGGTGCTACGGAGTCGTGATCTTTGCCGGCAAGGACACGAAGCTGATGATGAACTCGGGGAAGACCAAGTTCAAGCGGACGAGCCTGGATCGATTCTTGAATGTCTTGATCTTGGGGGTAGGTTTTGAATGATTTCACTGTCCCTCTGTTTTTCTACAATTCCTCGACGTCTTCAACAAGTTCATGAGTTCACCTTCCAGATCGTGCTCCTCCTCCTTGCCATGTGCCTGATCTGCACCATCCTCTGCGGTGTCTGGGAGTGGACCACCGGCCGATTTTTCACCGTCTACCTGCCTTGGGACAGCTCCATTCCCGGGTGGAATGATGCGGATAAGGTAAGCCTCAAATCCAAAAACACGCATTAATGACTTCAGGGCGGCAAGCAAATCTCGGTCATCTCCTTCCTCATGTTCTTCTCCTACATCATTCTGTTGAACACGCTGGTGCCGATCTCACTATATGTCAGGTGGGGATTAAGCTTCTTGATGCAATTCTTCCAATTGGATTTTAGTGTGGAGGTTATACGATTTATCCATTCCTTCTGGATCAACAACGACCGGGAGATGTTCTACGAGAACGGGGAAAATTCGGTGGCAGCTAGGGCTCAATCTACCACACTAAATGAGGAGCTTGGGCAGGTAAGAAGGCTCTCTCTCTCCCTCCCTGACTCGTTCTCTCTCGCTCTTTTTTCTTTACTCTCGTTCTGTTTATTTACGGCTTCGCGACGTCTTCAGGACGTTCACGAGCACGACTTTCCTTACTTTTTTACTTTCTTACTTTCTTTACTCTCTTCTGTTTTTGTACGGCTTCGCGACGTCTTCAGGACGTTCACGAGCACGACTTTCCTTACTTTTTTACTTTCTTACTTTCTTTACTCTCTTCTGTTTTTGTACGGCTTCGCGACGTCTTCAGGACGTTCACGAGCACGACTTTCCTTACTTTTTTACTTTCTTACTTTCTTTACTCTCTTCTGTTTTTGTACGGCTTCGCGACGTCTTCAGGACGTTCACGAGCACGACTTCTACGGGTGATAGTCGGAATCTCGAAATTTCGGAATCTCGAAATTTCCGAATCTCGAAATTTCTGAATCTCGAAATTTCGGAATCTCGAAATTCCGGAAATATTGGCAGATTCCTGGAAGCAAAGATTCAAATCTATCGAGATTCAAATAGGGATGGTTCCTATACAAGAAAACATCCGCTCTAACTCGGCGGAGCAACGTCGGATCGGGATGATAGTTGTACCATCCGAAAGCCCTTGAAACGACGAGTTGATAAACACCTTTTTTCAGAGGGTCTACTTTTCGTTTTATCGGAAATCTTGTATTTGAATCTCAAAAAAATGGATACATAATAGTTTTGCTTCCAGGAATCTGCCAATATTTCCGAAATTTCGAGATTCAGAAATTTCGAGATTCGGAAATTTCGAGATTCAGAAATTTCGAGATTCCGAAATTTCGAGATTCCGAAATTTCGAGATTCCGAAATTTCGAGATTCCGAAATTTCGAGATTCCGACCCCTACCCGACTTCTACAATGTGTTCCTCCAAATTTCTTTGTGCTTGATCTTTCACTACCTTCGTTCTCTCGCTATCTCTCTCACGTTCGCTGCTTTGGCTCTCTCTTCCTAGTTCTCTAAGGGTTAGTGACGTCTTCCAGAAGTTCAGGAGCACGAGCCCTATGCCGTGCTCCTCAGCCTTTCCCTCTGCTTTCTCTCGCTCTCTCTCTCTCGTCTCACCCGCGCACTCACTCACTCTCACTCCCTCTCTACTCCGTCTTTAGGTGCAATACGTCTTCTCGGACAAGACGGGCACGTTGACCCAAAACATCATGACCTTCAACAAGTGCACAATCAATGGTGTTCGCTATGGTGATGCCATGGATGCCCGCGGAAACTATCTCGACATTCATGAGGTAAGCTTCGACCCGTCACTCCCCCTTTAATCCTCACTGTTTGTTCAGAACACACCCTCCGTCGACTTTCAATTCAACCCGGAGTACGAGCCGACGTTCAAATTCTACGATTGGAACTTGTTGGACGCCGTCAATAAGGGGACATTTGAGGTGAGGTAGAGAGAGGGAGAGCGAGAGAGAGAGAGGGAGAGAGGCAGAAAGGCGGAGAAAGGGCGAACGAAAAAAAAAATCACTCCTTCAGGTTACCGAATTCTTCCGCCTACTCGCTCTCTGCCACACCGTCATGCCCGAGCGGGACAACGGCCGATTGGTATACCAGGTAATCTTCGAGATCTCAAAACATTTGGCTGAAGTCTAGGAAACCCCCCAGCCGACTTTTCAACTTTTCTACCTTTCTTATTTTTATTTTTCGCTACTTTTTTCGACTGAACTGCAATGTAGTCTTACTAATTAGCCTACGGCGAACATTTTGGTATACTTTAGAGCTCGCTAGCACAAAAGGGGGCAGAGATACAAAAGTTGGTGCCGGCTGGGGGGGTTTCTAGACTCTTACCAAACATTTTTCTATCGATACTTTGCTTTCCCGGCCCCTTTAAACCTCAAATTTAGGCACAATCACCCGACGAGGCCGCCCTGACTTCTGCGGCCAGGAATTTTGGGTTTGTCTTCAGGAGCAGAACACCACAGTCGATTACGATTTCCGTGAATGGGAAGGAGGAGGTGGGTGATATCTCTATCTCGCGCACAGACACTCTCTCTCTCTCGCTTTCTCTCTCTTTCTCTCTCTCTCGCCCTGACTAGCCGGTATCTGAGCGACATTTCACAGCTGGAAACCCAAACAGCTCTTCTTTAGGTCTATGAACTTCTGTGCATCCTCGACTTCAACAACGACCGCAAGAGGATGTCCGTCATCTGCCGGAATAGCCAGAATAAAATCCGTCTCTACTGTAAGGGAGCGGATATGATGATCATGGCAAGGTGAGGAGGAGATAATTTGGTTTGAAGGAGAGAGAAGAAGATGGAGAGAGATACAGAGAGCGAGAGAAAGAGAAAGCGAGAGAGAGAGGGAGAAAGAATCCCATTTTCAGATTGAGCCCCCAAACATCACCCCTTCTCCTCGACGCCACCAACCAACATCTTGCCGATTTTGCCGCGATTGGCCTGCGAACGCTCTGTCTTGCTTATAAGGACATTGACAATGCGTATTTTGAGGATTGGATGGTAAGGGATAGCTTTATGATATGGATAGCTCTCCATGGCGCTCCAATCCCGTGCCACAAAAAGATACGTTTTTTAGCGCCGCCAACGCGAGGCCTCCATTGACATGTACAACCGGGAGCAGAGGCTGGAGGAGGTTTATGAGGAGATTGAGAAAAGTGAGTTGAAGTATCGTTGTCCCGTTCTCCCACTCACTCCCTCTCTCTCGCTCTGTCTCTCTCTTTCTCTCTCTCTCGCTCCATGTACCAACCTTCAGACATGATCCTGCTCGGAGCCACTGCCATCGAGGACAAACTGCAGGACGGAGTTCCGGAGGCTATTGCAAGACTCGCGGCCGCCAATATCAAAATCTGGGTCCTCACCGGTGACAAGACGGTCAGTTTGAGCATGAGCTTCTTGAAATTGGGTTTTCAGGGGGAAGTGCAGAAATTCCTTATTTTTAGGAAACGGCCATCAACATTGCCTACTCGTGCCACCTATTGACGGACGATATGAGCGAGATTATGGTTATTGACGGGTAAGCCTAGCATTCTCTGCTTCCGTTTCTCTCACTCTCTCTCGCTCTCCTTCGCTCACTCTCTCTCTCTCTCTCCCCCTCCGTCTCCCTGGTTCTCTCCGCTCTATAGCTCTGTAGCTTCGATGCTAGAGCTCCTCTTTCGAGCATTTCAGCACCATTCCTTTAGACACACCGAGCAAGAGGTCGACGTCCAGCTCCGAGACACCTGGAGGGCTTTCGACGCCGCGCTGGCAGCTGTAAGTTTTTCAACCAGTTTTTTTTTGCTGGATTTTGGCATGTTTTGCGGTGGTTTTGGGGTGATGGTGGTGATGGTTCGGCACCTATAGTCACCGGAGCTCGGCACTTTCTGCACTTTCGAATTTTCGCCTGATGGAGCATGAACTCTGTGCAGAACTTCTTGACGAGAGAGTGAGAGTAGCACAGCGAGAGAGCGAGAATGAGAATGAGAATAAGCGTAGTGTGAGAGTGAGCTCGTGAGTGAGAAAAAGAGTTCGAAGAGAGTGAAAGTGAGACAGAGCATGAGTGAGAGAGCGCGAGTGAGAGAGAGAAAGTGAGTCAGCGCAATAAATTGCTGTAATTCAAAATTAGCACCCCTTTGAAACTCTCCCCCACCGTCGTCGTGTCGTAGCATAGCGTAGCCCCAGGCTACAGACCCGCGCCCACCGCTTCGGCTGCACAACGGCCGTCGAACGCTACATCGACGACATCATCCGTTACGTCCGCGAGGCCGAGGCCCAGCAGCAGGAGTACAGGCCCATTACGGTAGCTGTAGACCTTGGTGGTGACGTCCCCCACGTCGCACCAACTTACACCCACCTCTGCATTAGTGTGTGACACTTGCACGGCACTAATCAACGCCAAATAAAAAGGATGCTAGAATTTTAGAATTGATTTTAGACGGGACGGCCGCCGACGTCGACAGCAAGGAGTCCAGATCGGCAAATATCAACGATACAGGAGGAAGCAAATTTTAACGGTAAGTAAGAGGGGGAAAGAGACGAGAGAGCGAAAGAGAGAGTGCGCGAGAGAGTGAACGAGAGAATGAGAGAAGGAGAGAGAGAGAAAAAGATAGAAAAATGGAAACCTTTAGCTAGCGAATATTCTAATTTCAGGCGACCAACAATCCCCCGGTACTTCCGGTGAAGGCGGTGTGGCGCTGGTCATCAACGGGGATTCCCTAGGATTTGCATTGAACGAGCGGCTGGCCCCGACATTCTTGGAGATCGCGTGCAAGTGTCAGGTGGGAGAACTTCCTTGATTTCCAACTTCCTAAATATGGATAAGGAAAATCAGCCATTAAAGTGCCGTGCCGAATTCTAGACCGTAAGCGCCAAAATTGATGCAATTTAGGCGGTGATCTGCTGCCGAGTGACGCCTCTGCAAAAAGCCCAGGTGGTGGATCTTGTGAAGCGGAATAAAAAGGCCGTCACGCTGTCGATAGGGGATGGAGCCAACGATGTGTCGATGATCAAGACTGCACATATTGGTGTCGGGATTTCTGGTAAGGAGAGGAAATAGAGAGCGAGAGAGAGCGATAGAGAGAGAGACAGAGAAGGAGACACACACAGAGAGAGAGAGAGAGAGAGAGAGCGAGAGAGAGAGAGACAGAGAAAGAGAACCAGACAGACAGACCGAATAAGCGGGGAGATCTGGAGAGAAAAACAGTCGGTGAGAGTGAGAACGGAGAGCGAGAGAGAGAGAGAGAGAGTAAGAGATAGAGAGAGAAATATAGCCAGCACCCATTTCCAGGCCAAGAAGGCATGCAAGCCGTCCTCGCCTCCGACTATTCCATCGGACAGTTCAAATACCTGGAACGACTCCTATTAGTGCATGGAAGGTAGGAGACTCTTGGAATATTTTTATCCTCTTTTAGATGGTCCTACATCCGCATGTGCAAATTCCTGAGCTACTTCTTCTACAAGAACTTCGCCTTCACCCTCACCCACTTTTGGTTCTCGTTCTTCTGCGGGTATTCGGCTCAGGTAGGGATTTGAGAGATAGCGAGAGAGTGAGAGAGAGAGTTAGATAAATAGATAGAGAGCAATTCAAAACATGATTTTTTAGACGGTTTTCGACGCGATTCTCATCGCTTGTTATAACCTGTTCTTTACGGCGTTACCGGTGATGGCGATGGGTGTACTTGACCAAGACGTCGACGCTGTTAGCAGTTTGAGGTAAAGATTCATAGCGTCTCGCATCTCCTTTAAAGTTGACGCTAGGAGCCAGGAGCTGATGCTCAGGGCCTAAGCTTACGGTTAAAGCTCAGCCTGAGCCGGAGCATAAGTCTGAGTCTTAGCATAACCCAACTCTTAAAGAAACCAAACTTAATCCCAAATTCCAGATACCCAAAGCTCTACCTCCCCGGCCAATACAACCTCTTCTTCAACATGCGCATATTCATCTACTCGGTGCTGCAGGGAATGTTTAGGTATCGGGAGTGGTGAATTTCACGCCGTAATTGGTTTCAGTTCACTGGTGATATTCTTCGTGCCATACGGGGCCTTCTACGAGGCCGTAGACCATACGGGAAAAGATATGAACGATTATCCAGCATTGGCATTTACCGCTTTTACGGCACTCTTTATTGTGGTTACCATACAGGTAGGGTATCTCTCTTGCTCTCTTGCTTTCTCTCCCTTGCTCTCTCTCTCTCTCTCTCTCTCTCTCTCTCTCTCTCTCCCTCACGCTCTCTCTTTCTCTCTTTCTCTCTCTTGCTCTAGCTCTCTTTCTCTATGTCTCCCGCTCTCTCTCTCTCTCGGCTCCGCGAGGTCTTGAAAAAGTTCAGGAGCACGACCTCTACATCGTGCTCCTCCTCCTTTCCCTCTCCCTCTCTCTCTCTCTCTCTCTCTCTCTCTCTCTCTCTCTAAGCCTCTCGCTCTGTCTATTTCTGGCTATAATTTGCTCTCTTGCTTCCAGATCTGCCTCGACACCTACTACTGGACAGCGATCACCCACATTGTCACCTGGGTTCGGTCATCTTCTACTTTGCCCTGTGCTTCATCTTCTACGAGGGTACGTTTAATATGCCTTGAGATACCCGATAGACGTAAATTAGCGTTTAGCATAAACTACCTTAGCTTACCCTAGACTACTGTAGATTAGCAATCCCCTCTCTAATTCACCCGAATTCAGGCGATTTAATCACCGCCATCAAGGATATTATTTGTGGGTAGTTGAGAGACAGAAAGAGAGGGAGGAGGAATTCGTGATTTGTATCGTTATGTACTCCTCCAAACGCACTTCTATTTAAGGGTGGCGAGAGAAATAGGGAGAGAGACAGAGACGGAGCGAGAGAGAGGGAGAGCGAGAGAACGAACAAGGTGAAAGAGGGAGAGAAAGCGTGAGAGATAGAGGGAGAGAGACGGAGAGCACGAGACTGAGAAAGAGCGCGCGTGAGAGAATAGAAGAGAGAAAGAGAAAGATAGAGCGAGAGGGAGAGGAAGAGAGAGGGGAGAGACAGGGAGAGAGAGCGAGAGAGACAGAGCGAAAGAAAAATGTACCTGCTATCTGTCACGCTCCTTTTAAAACACTTGAAAACTACAAAATCCAATCTGAATAGGTCGACTACTATGAAAAATGCTACTTTAATAGATAAAATTTATTTATTTCTATACCGTAATGCAAATTCCCACCCTTCCCTGTCCCTTTAAAATCAGCTCCTCAACCTCTCCTACAGTCGTCCAACCACTCGTCCTCTGGCTCCTCGAGCAATGCGGAGATTGTCGTAAATGTCCGAAAATTTCTATATTTCACATTTTCCACTTTTAACACTTAATGCGCACGTTCAGGGAGGGGCCGTGTACTCGTCCCAACGTGTACACCCTATGGACGTAGGGACCGCGCGCACTGCCCGCCCGTGCTGTGACAGGCCATTCCCCTCCTTTGCGGCGTGGGGCGCCCCTCATCCCCGTGCCAGGTTGTGGCTGTGGCTGACTGGTATCCATCCGCGCCTCCCGAGCGGGGGGCCCGGGTTCGACCCCCGGCCGCCGCAAAAATCTTTGCTTTTTTCCAAAAAACGTCCCTGAACGTGCCCTTTAAGACGATCGCGAGCACCGACAATTTTGCTTCTTTTGGCATTCACATTCTGGCCATACATATTTTTCTGGAATTTTCTCCTTTTTTGGTTTGACATTCATATCGGTGAATTTTTGGGTTCCGGACCGGGAGATGGAATTTTAAAGGGACAGCGATACATTGGAAAAGAGAGAGAGAGCGAGAGAGATGGGAGAGATAGCGAGAGAGATGAGAGAGAGTGAGCGCGCAAGAGCGAGCGAGAGAGGGTGAGAGAGCGGAAGAGAGAGAGAGAGAGAGGGAGAGAGGGAGAGAGGGAGAGAGAGAAGGGCGATAGGGCGAGACAGAGAACGAGAGAGAGTGAGAGAGAGGGGGGAAAGAGAGACCGGGAGCGAAGGAAAGCAAGACGAAGATAGACGATCTTGACGTGTCGCCGCCTCTTTAACTATATTTGGAATAACGAATTTCCAGAACCCAAAAACGAATTTTTTCACTCAGTTTTTGAAACAAATACAATTCACCACTTTTCAGCGCTGCCGTTCTCGTTCCTATCCAAGACGGCGTCGGCCATTTCGTACGACGTCGCCTTCCGGACGATGACCACCCCGCACTTCTGGTTCTCCATCCTTATGGTCGGTCTTTCCAATTAATTTTTTGTATACTTTTTGTTTTTTTCCGGATCCACAAAATAAGTAGAACAAGTAGTAAGAAGTAGACAAACAAGAAGAAATGGAGGTAAAACTTGACACGTGTGTTTTGTAGGGCAGCGTACTTTCCTTTTTTTTTCTGGGCTTAAAGCTGTTTATTCCCGTTTCACAGAGCCATATAGTTATTTACAAATTTACACAGACTTCTTGGCAATTCTCGCGCGTCATGGTGGGTGGAGAAGAGGTTTAGTTGACCTTGCCGGAGAGGGCCTTGGGTTGGTCCTTCTTCCACGGCTTCACGTCGGTCACCGGCTAGAAAAAATAGGGTTAAGTTGTTCATCTACTGGGATATCTCTCTCACTCTCTCTCCCGCTTTCTCTCACCTGGTTATCGGGGCGGATTCCGGCCTTGCCTCCGATCTTGTCCTCGGCCACGTTGAACTCGGTGTCGCGGGTATCGCGGCGGATTCCGGCGGCTCCTAGAAGGTTAAAAAGCTTAAAAGGTTAAAGGTTTGTTAGGCTTCCTCCCTCTCTATCGCTCTCTCTCTGTCTCTCTCTCTCTCTTTTTCTCCCTTGCTCTCTCCCCCGATCTTTTTCTCTCTCTCTCCGCCTACCTCCAATCTTGTCCTTGGCGACGTCGAACTTCTTCTCCTCTTCGCGGGGTCGGATTCCGGCTTGTCCTAGAAAATCGGCTTGTCCTAGAAAATCGGTTAGCTTGGGCTTAGCCAAGGCTTAGACTTAAGTTAGGCTTAAGCTCGGCTTCAACTTTTACCAACTCTCACCTCCAATCTTCTGATCCTTAGGGCGAATTCCGGCCTGTCCCCCAATTTTGTCCTTGGCCACGTCGAAGTCGGCGGAGCGGGTGTCACGGCGGATCCCGGCGGAGCCTAGAATTTTTGTTATTTAGAGCTCTGCCATGGCCCTATTGCTAGCTGACGATTCCTTTCAAGTCCCGTGCTCACCTCCAATCTTCTGTTGCTCCTTGTCGGCCTTGATCTGGCGGAGGTTGGGCTCGTTCTTCTTCCACGGCTTAACGTCGACGCCGGTCGGGGCGACGTCAGTTGGGGAGCGCTTTTGCCGGTTGTCCTCGTGGGCTAAAAATGTGGATTTTAGAGGGGATGTTTTGAGATAATTATTTTTACAGTAGTTGTAATTTTTCGCTGCAGGCTGCGCTGAATGATTTTTAAAGTACCTAAAGTTCTATTTTTAGTACTACAGTACCTGGGCTAATATCTGTTCAATGTCAAGTATGCTAAAGTCTTTCTAAAACTACCGTATGCTGCAGTAATTTTTTAAAGGCTACCGTAAGCTACTGTAATATTCACAGTATCACAGACAAAAGCTAAAGAACATTTTTTAATGTAAATATAAAGTTTTCCAGTACTCTACAGTAATCTTTACGATACTACAGTACTTTTTAAACCCTCTTAAAAACTTACGGATCACAAAAGCAGCGGCGGCGCCAACCAGGGCTAGGGCAACGAGGAAGCGCATTTTTTGAAGGGTGGTTCTAGAATTGTCAATTTTAAAGGGACTGGGAAGTTTGAAAAGTAGAAAAGCTGTGGACAAGAGCTGTCTGGTGAATCCCAAAGATTTTTGGGGCGCTTTATAGTCAATCGCTTGGGGGGGGGGGGCACGTGCCGGGACCATGGTCCACCAAAGCCACGCCCCCTTTCATCTCTCTCTGTCTGTCTGTCTCTCTCTCTCTCTCTCTCGCATTCGATGATTCACCGCCCGTTGGTCGAAAGACGTAGAAACAAACAAGATGACTGGATGCTAATGTCACGTCTGATGGGATTGATGTGGAGGAGCGGTTTTGTCTGTCTGTCTGTCCGTCGGTCTTAATTTCTTCCTGTTTGTCTGTCTGTTTGTGTGTTGTCTTGTTTGTTTGTCTGTCTGTCTGCCCGTACTTGTTCATATTTTTATAGCCTAACCAATTTGCTTCACTCTATGTTTTCTGGGGCTCTGTTTGTTTGTTTGTGCGTTGCTTAAAATACCAAAAATATTTAGGACTTAAGGTTTTTGCATGCTTTCAAAAATCTTTTTTGCGTACATCTCCACGGGCGTAGGATTTAAAGCTCTAACACTTAATTCAGAATATAGAGCGGATTACAAGCCACCAAAATGATCTATAACACTTTTAAAATCGGAACGCGATCGATTTTAGCCGATTTTATAAGAATTAGGATCGGTATTTTTTTAAAAATTGTGCTAAAACATTCTGACGTTTTTTATCGCCAAAAAGATGAGCCAAAAATTTCCCTTCTTCTATTTGCGTGCAATCGAGGCCAAAACAAACTGGAGCGTCTTGGAATTTCAGTTTTTTTTCACCCAGAGCCACCCAATTTTCCCGGCTGACTCATCGAGCCGCGAGGGTGGACTGTTTGTAGAGAAATTCGAGGGTAATAGGAGCTATTTGATGAGCTAACACATTAACGATGTTTTTATAATCTATTAAGCTTGTTTATAAAATATTTTGCCTTGAGCTCCTGCTCCCGATTTTCCAGGCATTGTTTAGGCTTTCGTTTCTGGGAAAAGCCCCTGATCGAGAATCCTATAAACTGACCACTGAACTATTTTGGAAGGAAAAAGCGGAGTCTAGCCTGTTGATCCCCTCGGGCTCAAAATTGGGGCTGGGAGCGCGAGCTTTACGCTAGAAAACTCTGGATCCTGAGCCTCAGCCGGATTGTGTTTTGAGAAATCTGGGCGTAGAGAAGCGAGACAGAGAAAGAGAGAGAAGAGAGTGAGAGAGAGAGAGAGAGAGAGGCACAGAAAGTGAGAGAGAGATCGAGAGAGAGACGCGTAAGAGGAAGAGCGAGAGACAGTGAGCAAGAGAGCGGATAACGAGAGTGAGAGTGTGAGAGATAGAGAGACAGACTAGGCCCGGAATGGAATTTCCAGCCGATTTGAAGTATTACATGCCCCCGGAGTTGCATAGATTGAAAAACCCAGCTTTCTCTGCCTTCCACGTCCCTTTAAAACTTTTTGATCTAGCGAAAACAACGGCCGCCAGGTGCCCCTTAGGAAACCAATCTGACTCAATCCCCCAGATCTGTCAAATCATTCCCGTTCCCTAAAAGTTGGCCACCACTTCAGTCAGAGCAAAAAAGAGCAAAAGCTGTGGGTCATTGGGTCAACGTTTCGGGTGTGGCAAATACACACATCGGATTGAGGGCCAACAGTTGGCTCGATTCCCCCTCCTTGTACACAGATAAACTTCAAGGCGTGAAAAGTAAATAGCGGATTTTTGGGCGGTAATGCGGAAGGGATTCTGCAGCTTTGAAAGAGCATTGAAAAATTCGAGAAACGGCCTGCTGCCCGTAATTAGTATCGGAATGTATTGGAAACCGAAAAACTGAATTCCAATTGATTTTTAGCGAGCTTTCCGCTATTTCTTAGCTTCTTGATCCATTTAAAAAGCTCTGGAAAACTTTCTGCCGGTCGTCATAAGGGTAGCAAAGCCTATATAAAACATTTGGTCATTCTTGGGTTCTCGCAAAATTTTGATGAATTTCGATCTTCCAAGTCTCTTTAAAACCATCATAGCCGTTTTTTCGAACTTTGCCCAGCCAGTGGTCATTTTTTGAGCACACTTTGGCGACCAGTCGTTCGAGAACGATCGAAACGGGGAGCTGTGTAAGAGCCCTGGGGCTACGGGACACAACATACGATGGGCCCATTTTTTATCGTCGGGCTTTTCGGGGGTTGATCTTTTGGGTGAGAGAGAGAGAGAGAGCAAGAGAGGGAGAGACAGAGAGAGAGCGCGCGAGAGAGAGAGAGAGAGCGAGAAAGACAGTTCTGTGTTGAACCTTGGGCTCGAGCACTTGAGAAAGTTGAAATGGGCGCTGAAAGTCGGCTTTTTCGCTGTTACAGGGGTCGTAACAGCTCCCGATACCGATTTTAGTATGGAAAATTGGCGTAAAGATCCATTCAAAGCGTCACGAGTCCGTGACGGCTAGCGGTCTCTCCAGCGCGGATTCTAGCGTTGTTTTCTATACGCAACGCACCCGCAAGGCGTCCACCGAGCACGGCTACTTTTCCGGAAGCGTCCTATTTAAAGGGACCGTGACAGTACGTAAACGATTTCAAATGCTAAAAATAGAGACCAATGATATCATCACTTCTTAAGTTCTTCTTACGATTTTGATTCCACGCATCGTAAATACGCCCTCAAATTTCCCCAAAAATCAACAATAACAACGCGATACGTTTTATGCAAACAAACACATAGCGAGACAGAGAGACAGAGAGAGAGAGGGAGAGAGACAGGGAGATATTGTCCCTCTTCAAGATAGTGCATCCGGTGTTTCTACCCGTCTCTTTCTTCCTTTTCCCAGGAAAAAAAAGAGGATCAAAAGAAATCGGGCGAATCGGCGGTCAAGGGGCCGTCGATTCGCTAAGGTGTCTATTTATCATTTTTATTGTTGGGTCATCAAATGGCCCGGAACTCCATTCACAATGTGGGGGATGAACACCATTGGGATCCGGGTCACCTGCGCAAACAAAATACGGGGGGTCGAAATGTATTTTTCGAGCAGTGTGGTAAATATTTTTGGGGGTAGTGTTCGCGGAGTTTCCGGAAAACGCCGACAAAAAGTGATGCCGTTCATTGGAGTATCATGGGAAAGCTGAAATTTAATGAATAATCCTAGGGAAATTTTTACATTTTCGGGAAATGTTGTAAATACAAAAATTTTTCAGGTGTGCGTGATCCTGCTGATGCCGGTGGTGATGGTGCGGTTCTTCTGGCAGGACGTCCATCCAACGTTCGGCGATAGGCTGCGAATTATGAACAAGAAACGACCGCCAAGCCCGAAGAAGCAGAGGGAGGACAAGGAGAAAGATCAGTAAGTGGAGAGAGAAAGAGGGAGAGAGAGGAGAGAGTGAGTGAGAGAGAGAGAGAGAAAGAGAGCGCTAGAGCTCTAGAAAACCTTTTTCGTTTATACAAACC